ATCTTTTCTTTGGGAGAGAAATAAAAAAGCATTTAAAAGAATCTCTCGAATTTGGGCAGATCCACGAATCTCCGCTTGAAGGCAATTTTTTTAAGTGGAATTGGAACTTTAAAACAAATCTGCTCATATTAAAAGCAGAAGCATTTAACGTTAGTAATATTGAACAAGAATGGAATAAAATTAGATCAATAGAAATTAAAATTGATGGTGTTCTAGGCGCTGACCAAATTAATTTTAAATTACTCGAGGATGAAAATTTAATGGCAATTACAACTATAGGGGTCTTTATTTGGACTTTCAAGAATAAAAGAGGAATTGTTTTGCAAGGGTTTTGGGGTTATCATCCTAATAACACCCACTGCAAGCGAACGAATAATCAAAACTGCAAAAAAGCTTCTTAAGCAATTTAATTTTTCAAGTGCAAAATTATTGCCACCACCAAGTTTTGATACAATATTGTTTTTAGAATATTTGAAGCCAGATTTTTATAATACATGTTTTAAGGATTTTATAGATAATTATACGGATAATGATAATTTTTTAATGGAATTGCATGGAAAGTATTTTTTGCAAAGTTTAGTAAGGGCAAATAAGATTGAATTAATCGAAAAATCGTTCGATAATTGGCTTAAAAAGTGTGTAAGCAACTTAGAAAATGGAGAATTCCAGAAATTTATTAGAATATTAGATATTATTAGCTTTTCATTATCAGAATTAGAGCTATCTTATAGATCCCATGACTTTACAATACGTTATCTAAAAAATATTGCATTTTTACTTCCTTATAGATATAAAGATGATTTTCTTGATAATTGTTCTTCAGCATCACATCTTCAACATTTTATAATGTTAAAAAATATAAGAAAAATTCCTTTTTGGAAAACATTAAATTCATATCTTTCTAAATATTTTAAATATTATAATGATTTATCCTATTCTAAACCTATTGATTCATATAATACTAATATCACTATCAAGCTGGTATTTCCTACAAAAAATTTTGCTACTTACGATAATAATTACTCGGTACTTAAAGAATTAATTTTTCCGCCTTATAATTCTTTTAATTCTTTGAATTCTCCTAAGTTCTTTGAATTCTGGTGTTTGCAAGCACTTGTAAAATTTAAATGGGAATCATATGGTAATATATTTAAATTTATTTTTCTTAAAATTTTAATGAAAATGTTTTTATTTACTATAACTAATTACTAATGTTAAGGTTCATTTCAATATAGGAAAATATTATTATTATTATGTAATATGGCCAATATATTCAATATTTATGTTATGTTTTGTAATTGCAATTACGTTGCAAAATGAAATTTCACAAAGTAGTCAAGCAATACTTTTAGGATTAACTATTATTCTTGGAATTCACCATTTGACTCATGAATTTCGACAGCTGTTACATAATTATAAATTTTATTTTTTAAACATTTGGAATTGGTTTGGTATGTACGATTAGTTATGAAATTTTTAGGCATAATAATATTGTGGTAATTGAAACATTTATTTAAGATATTGCAGCAGCGTTATTTCCAATCATCACCTCTATTACGTGGTTTCAATATGGAACAATTTCACTCTGGAGCGCCGCAATTTCCACACTACTGCTTGAACTCAAATTTTTATTTTTCTTTCGCCCTACGAATTATTTTGGAAATTATTTTGCAATTATGATTGAAGTTGGAAAAAGGATTTTTTCATTTTTGGTAGTTCTTGGAATTATAGTTTTCGCTTTTGCACATTCTTTGCATCTTCTATTAAGACCTATTTCAAATTATTCGTTTGATCAACCAAGTTATACCACTGATGTCAATAATCCTTGGAACCTTGCAGCAAGATATCAATCTATTCTACCTAATGGAACTATTGAGAAAAGCCAATCTCTTATTGAAACACCTGATAGTAACACGAACATGTTTGCAATGTTAAGTACTGCAATTATAGCAGTTTATTTTATGTTAACAGGTATTAATTTTATTAAAATGGTTTATTTACTTTGTTAGTGTTTGTTTAATGATATTTATTTTATTAGGAGATACAAGTTCAATTTCTTCATGGGTTTATAAAGACAACTGGGCATTAGTCTTTTTGTTGGCTACATTTTCCTTTTTTACCACAATTTATTTGATGAATCTATTTATTAGTTTACTTGGTGTGGCAGTCGATGAAACAAATAAAGAAGAATCCTTTTTATATTTGAGATCTGAGGTATTTATATATTTTACTTTTATTTATACTTGTAAATTTAACTAACTTTTGTTAAATATTTAGTTAATATCTGAAATTGAACTGTTCTATATGTTACCTTATCAAAGACGTAAAAAGGATTGGTTTCCTGATATCTTGTAAGCATTGTCTATATTTATATGTTGAAAAATTACATGTATTCAATTTGTACTAATGTTATATTCCTATTAGATATTTTGAAGTTTCAAAGGACAAACTTTATGAATTAATTAAAAATATACAAGAAAAAACTTTTAAAGGTATATATGAACCATACCTTTCGAAGTCTATTCTTGAAATAGTTGGTATGGAAAAGGATGAAATTAGCAAAAATTTTGAAAATATGGATAACAAGTTTGATGATATAAATAAGAATTTTAAAGATATAAACAAGAACATTGAAGGCATAAATAAGAATTTTGAAGATATAAATAAGAACTTTGAAGGTATAAATAAGAATTTTGAAGGTATAAATACAAACTTTAAGGATAAATTTGATATTATTGAAAAAAAATTTGCTGATATGGATAAAAACTTTATGGATAAATTTGATTCTTTTGAAAAAAAATTCGCCAATATTGAAGAAAAATTTACAAATTTAATAGAAGAAAAAAATAAATCTAATTTATAAAATTTATTTCAATATATATATTTAACATATTTTAATAAGAAAATTTGTCCTATAGCGAATTGTTGAAAAATTAAAAGTTGCTTCTAGGGTAATATTTAAAGTTTTTAATAAAAATACAAAACTTAATATTTTTACAATCTACCAGCAAAAAATTGTTCAAATTATTAACTAATAAATTTAAACTTCTGTGGCAGCTAATCGTTAAATGATCATCAACATATATAAGCCCAAAACGATCAAAACCTTCTAATAAATTTACCAGAATATTTAAATTTTTCGTTGCCAAAGTTCACTTCTACCGATTCGCTTTGCAATCTAAATCCAACACAAGGATATAAAATGCCTTTGAATTACAATGTAGATAGCACGCAATTCCTTAAAATATTTTATAATTGTTAAATTTTTGTAAAAAATATAACTTAAAATTCTAAATGATGGTTACTAAGTTAATTCTATTTTTGTATAAAATACTATCTTATTTCTAAAATTTAGATAGCATCCAATTATATCACCAATAGCATATCCAAGAGGATGTAATGAATCATATAGTTCGTCACTTCCTGAACAAAAAGAATATCCGTCGTCACCATAGTAACCACACCCCCATAATTCATTTTCCTTGTTTTCCTGTCCTAAAAGATATACGACATAGACGTTAATCTATAATAATAATAATAAAACTGCTGCATGAGCATATTATTTAAATAATTTGAATTGTCTATTTTTTTATCGTTTTGCTTTGTACAATATCGGATTCCAATCATTCTATTAAGAAAATAAAATTAAAGATTATAAAAAAATCACCAGAACAAAGGTGATGCTTATGGTATGAAATAATTTTCAATATTACCCATTTATTCCTTTGTTTATAATTTTAATTTCAAAGTAAAATATCCACACTCTGAAAGGATTGGGTTGTTTGCTCGGACGTTTACAGCTTTATAGTCTTCAGGAACTCTAATTAAAATGTTTTTAATAAATTAAATAGCTATGATGTTATTCTTTTAAATGCCGTTTATTACAGTAACATATTATTGCGTTTTTCAAATTACTGTGTCCACTGATTCTCATACACCACACTGGAAATCAGAAATCTAGAATAAATGCCAATACGTGA